CATCTGCCCCAAATTCCTATTGTTTTGTATGGTATTTTAGTCTGATCATTTAGTTGTGATCCATCATTTTCTTCCAAGAAGAAAGCCTTTGAAGTTGAATAGGAATTTCAAAATAACACAGGAAATTAAATGATGAAAAATAGAAAATGAAAAACTACTTCTTAGCTGTATGTGCCATGAAATACGTATTTTTAAAGCCATTGGGGCTGTGCTGGTGCCTCCATTGTACTGCTTTTGTCAGTGTGTTAAGAGATTGGTGTTAAAGAAATCATTCATCCAGAAATAGAGATGATGTGCTCCCAAGACTGGGAGAAAATGAGGGAAATCCAAGAAAGGGCTGGACGACAGACTGGTTTTCAATGTGTTGTCCTTGGTATATTATGTTACCACTTAGGGCTGAATTTAAACTTCCCTAAAGAAACAATTAAGTAACGTCAGCCACCTCTCAGCCTAGATGGAGACTGGTGCACTTAAAGTATATTTTCTTAAAAAAAAAAAAAAAAAAAAAAATGCCAAGAGTGTTCTTCCCTTTCGGTTTTCTAAGTTCATGTCTTCATACATTGCATTATAATAATTGACTTTGTCTTCTCAAGCTGCTCTTTGAAATCTTCTGTTCAGCTCTTTTATCTTGTCATTTCTTCCATTTGCTTTAAGTACTCTCTGTTCAACAGCAAATTTCAGAGTCTCTTCTGACAATCATTTTGTTTTTTTCTTCCTTTCCTATCTTTTTAATGACTTTCTGCTTTCTTCCTTTATGATGTTCTTGATACTATCCCACAATAAATCTGGTTTTTGGCCATTGGTGTTTAATGTGTCAAATCTATTCTTTAGATGATCTCTAAATTCAGCAGGGATGTAATCACGGTCATATTTTGGTTCTTGTGGACTTGTTTTAATTGTCTTCAGCTTCAACTTGAACTTACATATGAGCAGTTGATGGTCTGTTCCACAATCAGCTCCTAGCCTTCTTCTGGCTGTAGATATTGAGCTTCTCCATCTCCTCTTCGCACAGATATAGTCCATCAGATTCCTGTGCATTCCATCTGGCAAAGTGCACGTATATAGGTATTTTTAATAAGCAAGTCATTAGTTTTGCAAAATTTGATCATGCAATCTCCAGCGTCATTTATATCATCAAGGCCATATTTTCCAACTACTGGTGATTCTTCTTTGTTTCCAACTTTTGCATTCCAATCACCAGTAATAATCAACATACCTTGACTGCATGTTGGGTCAATTTCATACTGGAGAGGCTGGTAAAAATCTATTTCCTCCTCTTTGGCTTTGGTGGCTGGTGCGTAAATTTGAATAACAGTAGTGTTAACTGGTCTTCCTTGCAGGCATATGGGTATTATCCTACCACTGAGAGCACTGTACTTCATGATAGATCTTGAAACATCCTTTGTGATGATAAATGCCACACCATTCCTCTTCAATTTGTCATTCCCGGCATAGTACATCATATGATTGATTCAAAATGGCCAAAACCAGTCCATTTAAGCTCACTGATGCCTAAGATATCAATCTTTATGTGTCCCATTTCATTTTTGACAATTTCCAATTCCCCCACATTCATACTTCATACATTCCATGTTTTTGATTATTAATGGGTGTTTGCAGGTGTTTCTTCCCATTTTAAGTCATGCCACATTAGCCGATGGAGATCCTGAAAGCTTTACTCCATTCATGGCATTAAGGTCGACTCTACTTTGAGGAGGCAGCTCATCCCCAGTCATAGCTTGAGTGCCTTTCGACCTGAGGGGCTCATCTTCCAGCACTGTATCAGACAATGTTTCAGGGCTATTCATAAAGTTTTATAGTAATATATCACACACTGCCTCACTGCTATTCATAAGGTTTTCACTACCTAATTCTTTGAGAAGTGGATGGCCCCTTCCTTCTTCAGAGTCATATTAGTGTGGAAGCTCTGTTAAAACCTGTCCACCATGGTTGACACTACTGGTATTTGAAATACTGGTGGCACAGCTGCCAGCCCCACAGCAACACACAAGCCACCACAGTATGAAAAACTGATAGATGAGTGGTGGAATCAATCTGTACAATATCTAAAACAAAGGCACAAATAAACAAAATTTTGGTAGTATTTATTAGAATCCTTCTAAATGTATAGGCGTCCCAGTGATGCGATGGTTAAAGTGCTTGGCTGCTAACCAAAAGGTTGGTGGTCCAAACCCAGCAGCCATTCTGTGGAGTAAAAGGCCTGGCAATTTGCTCCTATAAAGATTACAGCCTAGGAAACCATATGTGACAGTTCTACTCTGTCCTATAATGCCACTATGAGTTAGAATTGACTTGACTGCATATAACAAGAAGAAATTTATACGTTGGTATTGGGAGAACTGAGGGCATTTGGTGATCTTTAGTAGAATTCTTGCCTTCTATGCAAGAGAGTCAGGTTTGATTCCTGATATATATATCTCATGTGCAACTACCATCAATTTGTCAGTGCAGGTTTGTGTGTTATTATACCAAACAGGTTTCAGTGAAGTTTCTAGACCTCAACAGACTAGGAAGAAAGGCTTGCTGGTCTACTTCTGAAAATCAGCCAAATAATCCCATGGATTATGATCATGGTAATGGCACAGGACCAGGGTGTTTCATTTCATCATGCATGGAGTCACCATGAGTCAGGGTAGACTCCATGGCAGCTAACAGTGGGAGAGTGGACATTTTTATGATATTTCATCTTCCCATTCAAGAATGAGCTATGTATTTTTATTTACTAAAGCTTTGTGTCCCTCAGCACCATTTATTTATCTTACAGAAATACTTTATTATAGAATACTTTATTATAGAAATACTTCTACAGCTTATGGCCAAGCATTTTTTCTTTTCTGTTACAAACTCTGGATGAGTTCTTTTTTTCCATCACATTTCCTAAACTGTTGTTGTCTGTATATAGGCCACTATTTTTTCAATATTAATTTTGTATACAGGAACTGTTGCTGTTTATTATAATTTTTAGTGATTGGCTTGGGTTTTCCAAATATACAGTCAAATCATCTGCAAATAATGCTTTTTTACCTTCCCTTTCCAACAGTTATACCATTTCTTTCTTTCTTTCTCTGACATTAATAGGAACATTTATCATTTTCCCTATGATGCATCATGTTGGTTTCTGAGTTTAGACATATATATTTTACCATGTTAATATGTTAAGGAAGTTCATGTAATCTTACTATGAGGTGTTTTTTATCTTTTCTTTTTTAAATCAGGCAGGGCTTTTTATTTTCTTCCCAATGCCTGCTTAAACATTATTAAATTTTAGACAACAACAACAATAATAATAATAATACTATGTAATCATCAAGCAATTTCAATTAATGTCCTTATAAAAAACAAACACAAATCAAGATTCATCACTAATATTTCATAATCTACTTCTTACCTAAAATATGGCCAGTGGGACAGTGGCATTTTCCTTCCGCAGTTAAACCACCAGGGCAAGAAATACAGTTCCAGCCATCTTCAGTAACACCTTTCTAAATTAATTTTTTAAAAAATTCTTCTTATTTAATGTTCTCCTTAATTGATTAAGTAACTTTACAAAGCCACAAGAGTGTGCAATTTAGAGTGGATATTCTAATAAATACATGTATGAGACACATAAAAATTCTCTAGATAATTTGTGCTTATATTTTAAATTAAGCTATGTATACATTGTTACTATGTACTGACTGGTATTAGAAGATTAATTCTGAGTAACAGTTCTATCTTCTTTATGATTTTCCATTCAAATAAATCCTTACTTTTGTAATAAATTTCATCATTCATTTTTTCTGTTTACAAAGATAATCACAATGAAATTCAAAACAGTTTAATCAATGAACAGTCAATTAACAGTTTAGTCTTATCTATTATGATTACTGTAATTTTAACTGAAATATATTAGCTTCTAAACATTAATTTATGATTCAAAATGGGTGAATTTCATAATGCCTAAATAAAGCTGTTAAGAATTAATTTAGTAGAATATTTCCTTATATCTTTTTGTAATTTATACTAATGAAGTTCTTTGGTAAAATATAACATAATTGAAATTGGGCTTATTATATTAGGAAAAACCTGGGGCAAAATACAATAATTATATTACAAACATAGATATAACCAAAATTAATAGAGAACAATGGTAAAACAAATTGTCACAAATTATGTTAAATTTTGGTGGGAAAAACTGGATAGATCAAGAAATGCTCCTTTATTTTGCAGTACAAATATGTAGAACTATTTAAAAATTCAGACAGCTTAATAAAAACCAAAAAAACCAAACTCACTGTCATCAAGTTGGATCCAACTCATAGAGACCCCTCCTTGGGTTTCCAAGGCAGTATCACTACGGAAGTAGATTGTGCAATCTTCCTTCTGAGGAGTGACTGGTGGGTTTGAACTGCCTGCCTTCTGGTTAGCAGTCAAATGCCTTAGACACTACACCACCAGAGCTCCAACATATTAATAATGCCACAGAAATAGAAATGGAGTTTGGCACCATTTCATATTAGCAGCTTTTTATCACTGATAACTCAGCTTTGGTCAATATTTGCAAAAACAAATATCAAAATGATAACCAAGCCTATAAATACTAGTCATAAGTAAGTTCAACTGATAACTTTGTATTAAATTTCTAGATTTACTGTTTATACAGACAATGAAAAGAAACACTCCTACAAAATTCAGAACTGGAACACACAGATTCCTATTTATCTGAAATGATTGGAAAATGTATTTTTGTTCATTGAGAATTATTATATATAATAACCACTGATTTACTAATTTTCCAAGAATCACAATAAAATTACTAGGAAAGAGCAACCAAACATTATTTAAACTATTAATGTGACTGGCATTTCATGAACTTATTATACCTTCACTATCATTATGAACATCAATTATTATATAAAACTAATGACATAGTATGTCTAAGACACTGAACTCAATCTGTACCAACCAAAAGATATAGCCCCCCACCAAACATCTTACATAATGGCATGCTTTAGATTAGTTTCTATGTATATTTATTATTCATCTATTTATCTGAGATACTGTTATGAGGGAAAATAAAGACAAATTTTCACAGCTTTGCAGTTGTTTGGAATTCAGATTAAAAAGTAAATACATTTTAGTTTTTTTTCCAAGTTTGCATAAAATTTTCACTGATGCACCAAAATTTATGCTAGTAAAAGTAATTAGCTTAATACTCTTAAAGTTTGTGGGAAAATATTAAATATTAATTTGTAGTCTAAAGAATAAAGACATTTACATTTTTTTGTTAACAATAAAATGATTTTTAAATAAATATTCCATACCATGTTTTCTGGGCACTTTTTACAAATAATGGCAGATCCTCCATCATTAGAGATCATCTGAAATCCTGGTAAACACACACATGAAGTTCCTAAAGAAAAAGACATTTGTCTTTGATATATAAAACAAATTCCAAAATAGGGAGATTTTAGTAATTCTTAAAATCTGGAGAAGCAGTGTAGTGGTTAATAGCAAGACTCTGGAACAATACTACCTGGGTACAAACCCAGAAATATACTCCTTAGCTTTCAGTCTTGGTTCCGCTCCTTTGCTGTTGTTGTTGTTGTCATGCGCCCTCGAGTTGGACCCGACTCATACCAACCCCTCCTTGGGTTTCTGAGGCAGTATCACTATGGAAGTAGATTGCCCAACCTTCCTTCCGAGGAGTGGCTGGTGGGTTTGAACCACCAGCTTTCTGGTTAGCAATCAAGTACCTTAGGCTAGCAAGTTCCTTAAATTCTCAGAGTCTCAGCTGCTTCCTTGGTACAATGAGAATAACAGTACCGACTGCAACAACAACACTATAAGGACTAGTGCTGAGAGAGAGAAATCAGGCCAGTAGAGTTTTGAAAGAAATTTTATTAAAAGTATCTGCATGCAGATAGGCTGAGCTCAAGAATGTATCAGCCCCGAGCTGGGGAAGTCGGGAGGTATAAGAGGGTGGCAGGAAGTTTATCAGCAGTTTTACTGTGGGAGAGCAGACATCGGCTGTCTTGGTAGCAATAGTCAAGACGGTGGATGTGCATCTATGTTCTTGGTGAACTGTAAGTTTCAGTCATTTTTTGTGGTATTGCTTGTTCTCAGAACTGGGGCTTAAGCATAGTCCTGCTATACAATTTCCTTTCAGGAGAGAAAAGTGTCAGTGGTGAAATGTAAAAAGAACAGCATAAGAATACAACATAAGTTGTATACAACATAAGTTCCAAACCTAGGTTTACACTTATTACCTTATAGTGTTATGACTGTGTCTGGCACGTGGGAGGTATACCTACTCCTCACTTATTGACCATCTCATTATATAACATTTCACATTTACAATAGTAAAAAGTCTACTATCTATTTTGTGCATTAATGACATACATGTGGCAGTAACAAACACCGAAGTGTGAAGCAAGAGTAATAATTCTGGCTATAGTGGTTGAGTTTATATGTCAACTTGGCTGGTCCATGATTCGTAGTGGTTTGGCAGCTATTCAGTTATTTAATGATGTAGTCATCCTCCATTTTCTCATGTCAATTTTCTTTTAACAACTTGGTCTTTGAAACCCAACCGTGATGATGAGTGAGGAGTGGGTGCATTGTGTTGGCTACCATTTGAAGGACAAGGATAACTAAACTATTCAGCTACTTAACTGTTAAACTAATAAACTACTGATTAACTGCTGGGAAATTTCACATTACTTTGTCACTCAAGAATACACATATTTCAATGAATTCAAATTCAGTATGTCAAAACAAAATCCAATTATTAGCAAACTTACTTTGATTGTTTCCCTCTGCTTGGGCTAAGATAGTCACTACTCAATCTGCTGGTTTGGTAAATGCAGCATTCTATAAGTAGGTATAAATGGAAACAGCACCCATATAAGTCTATGTAATACAGTGCATACAGTATCTATACCTTACACTTTGGAGTCTCTGAAACGCTTTCTCATGTATATTTCATTGCTCGAGCAGCCTGATTTGTCCTGTTTGATGGCGAAAATAAGAATACATCAAATTTGAAGATTTGGTCATTGGTGACCAAATCGAGATTGAAAACATCTTAGAAGGCACAAGATGGTAGACTTAATCAAAGCAGATGTTTCAAGGACTTTTTTTTTTTAGTTTAAACAAAGTTCTTAAAACAGCTTTAAGAGCAATTAATAATATTCAATAATAGAAAGGTCTAAGTACTAAGAAAACATAATTTTAGGGTCACCCTGTATAGCGGTCATATACACATAGTCTTGAACTATGCAAAGGCACTAAGGACAAAGGCACGAGTTCTTCCATAACCCAATTAAGGTAACACTGGAAGACATTACAACCTACTCTGGGTTTCAATTTCCTTATTTGTAAAACGAGAATCCCGGCCTTGATCATGATTATGGTCACTTCCAGTTCTAAATGACTGGGATTTGAAAGCAGCATAAAGAGCTTTCATGCTGAGAAGTGCTAACTTGCATCCTCTCCCCAACCCTTCTGGTTGGTCACCGGGCCCTCGGCTTCTAAGTTTACTTCTCTACAAGTCTGTTCTCTTCAAGCTGCTTTCCAGGTGTTGCCCTAATGACCCCGGGTGAGGGTGGGGGAATGGCGCTCAAAATTAATTACTGGCTACCGTTCACGGGATAGCTGACTCCGAGTTCCCCAATCTCATTTAATGTGCAAACCGCAATCCTCCCAGGAGACTGCTCCCTCAGGCATCGGCGGTAAACTTTTCGCAACATCCCTACAGCAGATGAAAAGGCATTTCAGCGATGTCGGGGACTGTGGCCATGACCAAGGATGGAATGTTACTTTTGCCAGATCCCTTCCAGACCGTCTCACCTCGGGCGTCCCGCCTCTGGTTGGCTCCACAAGGGACACAAGAAAGCGCGGAGATATCGAAGTAATGGTTGTGGTCGCACGATTCCGGCTGACAGAACGGCAAAGAAAAAGTCTGGGCTTGTGAGACTCCAGGGAGTGCCAATAAGAGAAGCACTGTCACTACGGCTGCGGACAAAGTAAACCAAGCCGCCATTGCTACCACAGCCCCAGCACTGCCCGTCGCCATGGTGCGGAGGGCGGTGAACATCCAATTCCCCGAGCCCCATCAGCCTCTGCGGCGATTCCGCCAAGCTCATTGGACAACTTTCCAGCACACCCCCACTCACAAGAGTTCCAGAAGAGAAGGCCTGCGCTGCCTTGTTGCTAGGTTACCAACGCACGGGATACTGGCGTGTCGTTGTTGTTGTTGTTATATGCCATCGAGTCAGATCCGACTCATAGCGACCCCTCCTTGGTTTCTGAGGCAGTATCACTAGGGAAGTAGATTGCCCCATCTTCCTTCCGAGGAGTGGCTGGTGGGTTTGAACCGCCAGCATTCTGGTTAGCAGTCAAGTGCCGTAGGCACTACCCTACCAGAGCTCCCACTGGCGTGTCTAAGAAACTGTAAATTAGGGGCAGAGGCTATTTCAAATAGTGTACTTCGAAATCTGTGACTGGACTTACTACTGAGACGTGAAATCAGTTTATGAGATCAAGGAATAGAATAGCACAGGAAAGAAATTTTCTCATTGTATGTTATACATACATAAGGGCATCGTGAGTCAATAACACTAGATGGCAAACATTGTTTTATAAAACTATTAAGCTAAATGATATTAATTTAAACCAGAATTTGTCCAGACTAAGTAATTTCCATGTCACAGAAGACATTCCAACAATATTTATTACTAGGATTAGATGAAAAAAAGTATGAATAAGTTTTGTTTTAAATATGCAATGCTAGAAGATTACTATGCCTCAAGCACTAAACAACCAACCAGCCAATCTTTCCTGACAGAAGTCTGGTTTTCTACTTCCTTTGTTTTGAGCATAGAAAACTGTGTATAGAAAATGAAACCATCTTTACACCACTGTGAATAATGTAGGAATCTAAATGTTTATCAATTGTGCACATATATGAATGTTCTTTTAAAGTAGTCACCCTTGAGGTTGTTACCCTCAAAATATTTTGGAATTACCTTCAGAACCAGTTTATGGGCCACAAAAGAAATACTCATTTCTTTTTATATTTAAATGTCATTTTTGTTTTTGTTTGTTCGACTGTTGTATTTTGTCTCTCCAGGAAAATCACCATGGGCTATTTTTAGCATCTTATTCATCCGTAGTAACTTCAAATGATTTTTTACTTTTTCAAAAAAAAAACAAATTTTGTAATTAAACTGGTTTGTCACTATTAAGATATGGAAAATGAATTAAAGGAAGTTAAATAACTTTAACTATTAACCACCATTGTTGTTGTTTTGTGCTGTTGAGTCGATTCTGACTCATAGGGACACTATAGGATAGCATAGGAGCTCTGGTAGCATAGTGCCTAAGGCACTTGACTGCTCACCAGAAGGCTGGCAGTTCAAACCCACCAGCCACTCCTCGGAAGGAAGGTTGGGCAATCCTACTTCCGTAGTGATACTGCCTCGGAAACCCAAGGAGGGGTCGCTATCAGTCGGGGCGACTCGACGGCAAACAACAACAAAGGATAGCATAGAAATGCCCCATAGGGTTTCTTAGGCTGAAATCTTTATGAGAGTTGATTGTCAAGTCTCCCACAGAGCAACTGGGGTGAGTTTGAACTTCCAGTCTTTCCAGTAGCAGTTAAGCACTTAACCATTGTGACACTAAACCTCCTTTAACCACCATTAAGCCTTGTTTTTCCATGGGGCCATCCCCAAAAGACCAACATTCAGCCAGTCACAAATCTCTATGACAGAGCAGGTGTTATGTTTTGAAAGCTGTTTCTACACCTTCTACATCTATAAATGCTAATAGGGACTCAGAAAGGATATTGATAGAATAGTTGGGATTAACTTGCAAAAGCTTCCTATAGGTGAGTTTTAAATGCAGTCTTCCTTGATGAAGTGCATATTGTTCAAATACTTTGTGGAAAGTATTTGGCAATATTTGTCCCTTTCCTGAATCCTACTCATAGTGACCCCTCTTTGGGTCTCCAAGGCGATATCACTATGGAAGTAGATTACCCAATCTTCCTTCCAAGGAGTGGCTGGTGGATTTGAACTACCAGCCTTCTGGTTAGCAGTCAAATGCCTTAGGCACTACACCACCAGAGCTGCTAAATAATTAAAGTAATAGTAATAATAATAAACTTCCATTTATTGACAGCCTTCGTGTCTCACATTGTATACTGTGCTAGGCATTAATCTTAACTGTTCATAACAAACCTTTGAGGGAGAACTACCCCTGTTTTACAAAAAAAAAAAAAAAGGACACTGAGGGTCAAAAAAAGTTAAATAAATAGTTTCACTGTTTAAGGAATTAGTGAAACTAGGATTTATCTCCATTCGGCCAAGTGCAAAACCTACTGTTTTCATAGTATCAGGTGGCTTCTTTGTGGAATAAATAGAGAAAATTTTCAACATATTCCACATATAAGACAAACCTGTTTTCTTTAGCTAAACATGGTACTGCCATAATATACCACAGACAGTGGCAATTGCCTAAGACCTTTGGATACTGTACCTAACATAATTGCTCCTAGGAACTAAATAGACAGATTATCTGTTACAAAAGCACTTTGAAGTAGACAAATACAGTTAAGTTTGAGGGAATTGTAGATATGCTATGGGTTCATTTCTGTAAACTGGTAGAAAACAGTGTTAGCTAAAATTGTTGGGAATGTATTGTTAGGGCTATTTTTGCTGCAAGTAATATATGAACAGGTAGTTTAAGCTAGTTCACAATGGCTTCAAAGTAAACATAAGTCTGGAGGTAGGCAGCTGTTGGTGATTGTCAGTGATGTCAAGTAGTCATCTGTGCAATTCTCTTGGCCCTTTCCTCTTAGCTTCTGTGTGACTGCCTTACACTTACATCAGCATTCACATTTAAGACAGGAAGAAGGAAAGCAGAACCAGCGATGGGTCCTCTATGTGTTCTACAAGGAAAGCTATGTATTGTGCTAAACTCCTTAACATGCATTATTTTAATCTTCTTAACAATCCTATGAGAAGGTAGTACAATTAACCCCATTTATCAGGCTTAGAAACATGGCCAGAATCACTCAGCTAAGATATGGCTTGTGCTGCAGTAACAGAGACACTACAAGTGGGTGGTTTTAAAGAACAGAAATTTATTTTCTCACAGTTTGGGAGGCTAAGAATTGAAATCAAGATCTCAACCTTGTAGATTCATTCTTGTCAGTAGCCCTGGGCAATCCTTGGTTCCTTGGAGATTCTTACATGGTACCTGTCTTCCTCTATCTGTGTCTCTGTGTCTAATCTGGGAGCTCTGGTGGCATAGTGCCTAAGGCATTTGACTGCTAACCAGAAGGCTGGTGGTTCAAACCCCCCAGCCACTCTTCGGAAGGAAACCCAAGGAGGGGTCACTGAATCAGGATTGACTTGACAGCGGTAAGTTTTTTTTTAATGTCTAATCTGCTCTTTTTTATAACTCTGAAGTGATTGTATTTAGAACCCACCCTACTCCAAAACTCAAAACCAAACCCAGAGCTGTCAAGTAGATTCTGACTCTACAGGATAACAACCTCATGAGACAGAGTAGAACTGTCCCACAGGGTTTCCAAGGCTGTAAATCTTTACAGAAGCTGACTGCCTCATTTTTCTCTCATGAAGCAGCTGGTAGGTTCAAACTCTGACCTCGATTAGCAGCTGAATGCTTAACTACTGTGCCATCAGAGCTCCTTCACTCTGCTCCAAAACCCAAACCAAACCTACTGTCATTGAGTAGATTCCAACTCATAGTGATCCTGTAGGACAGAGTAGAACTGTCCCATAGGTTTCCAAGGCTACAAATATTTACAGAGGCAGACTGCCTCATTTTCTTCCCATGCAGTGGCTGGTGGGTTTGAACCTCTGACCTTCTGGTTAGTAGCCAAATGCTTAACCACTGTGACTCCAGAATGCCTCACCCTACTTCAGTATTATCTAATTAACATAAAATGAAAATCCTATTTCCAATTAGGATTACATCCACAGTGCAGGGGTTAGGATTCCAGTACATATTTTTGGAAACACAATTTAATCCATCCCTCGAAACGTCACTTAGGAAGGAAGATTGGGCAATCTACTTCTGTAGAGATACCACTTTGGAAACCCAAAGAGGGGCTGGTCGCTATGATTTGCAATTGACTCTACGGCAGTGAGTTTGGGTTTATATATATATATATATATATAAATTATAAGTTGGTATCAACTCGATGGCAGTAGGGTATTATCTTTTTATTCTCAATGCCTGTTGTTGCCTATACACACCTTACAAGTCATTCTCCAGTGTGCCTGCTCTCATGGTTCTGGATCTGTTTCTGCGGGTCCCTCTGCCTATCCTGCATTATCTTCTCCTGAATGATTTCTTTATTTATCTCCCTCCCACCCACCCATCCACCGTCAAGCAAATCCACTACTGGCCACTTTGACTCATAGTGAGCGACTCTATTCTACAGGTCCATAGGGTTTCCAAGATTGTTGTCTTTACGGAAGCAGACAGCCACATCTTTTTCCCATGGAGCAGCTGGTAGTTTTAAACTGCCAACCTTTCAGTTAGTAACTGAGCACTTAAACACTGTGCCACCAGGGCTCCTTCCTGCCCACCAGGCAGAGTCAATCCTACCCTCTAGTTCCAAAGCCTCAATTAAAGCAGTCATCATAACACATTTTAATTATTAGTTTCTATGTTTGCTTCCCTAATAGACTGGGAGGTCCCTGAGGGAAAGCACCATGAATAGCCTTTGTCCTTGACAAATGTCTGCCTCACAGAGATGCTCAATAAATACTTGAAAGATTGAACCATTATCATTTATGATAGTCTCTAATGACTAGTGATGTTGAACATCATCGCTTATGCTTTTTGGCCATTTTTATATGTTTTTGGACCATTGTTACTTAGTTTTGCTCTACTTTCTCAAAGATTTCCTGGACTTTATCTGTCAAATACTCCACTGAAATTTTTCATTTCTGCTATATAATTTTAATTTCAAGAGCTTTTTTTTAAAAATTTTTTATTGTGACTTGGGTGAAAGTAAGAGCTCTTTTTTTTTTGTTT